TTTCAAAATCCTCTTCTTTCATATCATGTTTAGTTTCTTCCGTCATTATCATACTTCCTATCTCCACACCACTTGTTAGCTTAGCTTCCAAACAAGATGGCTGATATTGATTCAGTATCAGCAAGTGAAGTCCCACCCACTGATCTGTAATAGGCCTGTAGGGTGAGTGGGTCCCACGCCCTTGAATAATAATGAGCTAATGTTTGTAGTCTCTACACTTTTAAATGAAATGTGACTTCCTGCTTATTATGACGCAAAATGATGATTTGTACGTCATAATAAGCAGGAAGTAAAACCATTGTTGTGCATGAACGCGTTCAATGAACAACGTTCACTGAACTCGTTCATAAGTTCGCCGATCGCTGAACTGATCGAATCACTTTTCATACAATGAACGCGAACAAGAGCGGCGCTCACTCTGTCAGGAATGAATGAGCAGCACGCGCATTTCACGTTCACGCTCATTTGAAAAGTCAGGTTTTACCTCCAACCTCCGTTTTGAGTCGCAGAATCCACCCCCCGACAGTATTGTGGTGGAGACTTTGTCTATTATCACTGGGTATGTTAGACGAGGTCGAAGTATTCATAGTACAGAAAGGGGGTAGTCGCAATAGTGTGCACACTTGGCGCGCACGCGAGGCAGATCTGACCGCGCTCGCACTGCTCGTATCATCACTTATGATCTGCACTTTTCCATAACGAATGATCTTTTGAGCTAAACAGGTCTCATCTACTTGTGTTTGTGTGTCATATGAATAATAAATGCCCCATAAATGGAATCAGAGTGCCTACTGTATGTAGTAAGTTAAGTTGTTGAGCTGCTAGCTGTTCATTTTCTTTAGACAAATATAAGGAAGATTGTTTTATTATAAATGAATGTAAATGGCATTTTCATCGTTTACTCACTGTTTACTTCCTTTTGAAGGTGTGAAAATGTGTTGGTTGAGTATTGCACATTGAGCAGGGTAAGCCCAAGCAAATTTGACATTACAGTACATGACTACTTTGGTCTGGTTTACATAGTTACTGCCATTCAGAATATGCTGGATTTTTGTCAGTAGACTGATCTTTTCCCCATGAACCTGAATATACCTTTTTAAAGTCCTGGGTAATTTGGTTCATGCTGGCTAAATAAAAGTTTCACTGAACATACAGTATACCTTGATTGCACCTTATATTTTCAAATTTCCACATATCATGATTACGCATTATTTAAGGGGTAAATATGAAGAGTTCAGATGCAAAAGCCTCTAAATGCCATTTGAAATTTTCTTCTTTAATGATGATTTTTATCAAACTTGTATATTTAAGTTCAGTAATTTTACTTAAATAACAATTAATAGGTAATTATCATTGCCATTTAAGTAAAATACCTGAACTTAAATATACAAGCTTTATAAAAATGATCATTCTAGAACAAAATTTCAAATGGCACTTAGAGGCTTTTGCATCTGAACTCTTCATATATTCTCTATCACAACATTATTTTTCTCCTGGCTATAATAATTGTATCTTGTTTATTGGTACAATAATTTTGATTAGTTTTGGAGTGGCAGTGATTTGCAGCTGGTAATGGATGATAAAGAGGTTCTATTGAGTAAGATAGTGGCCTATCTTAAAAAGAATTTAAAGGGGGGGGTTGACTGCGATTTCACTTTTTTCATTTTAAATAGTGTGTAATGTTGCTGTTGGTGCATGAACAGTTTCTGCAAAGTTGCAGCGCTGAAAGTTCAATGTAAGCAGAAATATTGTCTTAAAAATCAGGAAGTATAATTGCCTACAAAAACGACTCGATTGGGACTACAGCTGGGTTATGGTACGTCACTAACCCGCACATTTGCATCAACCCCTCCCTCAGAATATGCAGAAAATGGCATGCGTATATTTCTGAGGCACGTCGACTCGTGGAGTGTGTTGTTCACGCAGCTGTCAGGTCTTCTGTGTTTCGGGCTTCCCATGGACGCTATACTTCCTCAACAATGGATACAATTTAAGTTTGATTATGTTCCTGAAAACGATGATCGTAATCTAGCTCTCTGTGCTGCGCATTTTATGGAAGACAGCTTCCAGAATCTCCACGAGTTCAACTCCAGATTCAACAAGAAACATGAAGCAGTTCCAACTTTAAAACAAGAGGCAGCAGTTGTTGGGCCACAATCTGTAAGTAGGCTAAGACTTCATCATTTTAAATGTATTTGCATGTATAATTCCAGACGTAACGTTCGCCTTGTGTTTTTTTTTTGTTTTTTTTTCAAATGCCAGCGCTGGCTTTATAGCCACTACTAGTTAGCCTATGCTATTTTGTGTCCACGACTCCACGACAAACTCGTACAAACATTATGGATCTTAATTGTCTATAAGTACTAATGTTTCAAACGTATTTTCATGTATACATGCTTTATGACGTTATTTTTGATTTGATCAAGAACGTAAACATGCCAACGCTGTTTGAGTATGACATTAGTAGCCAGTCAGTTGCTATTGTTTCCAGTCAGATGCTATTGTGTAAAACAAACGTGCAAAAAGTAAAAAAAAATGTAGCAAATTATTATTCAGAAACGTTTATTAAGAGCCGTGTGTGGTGAGGTTAGTTCATTTAAAAAAAAAAAGTGACCTATGAATGTGAACTAGTTCATTATCATCTGTGTGAACTGAACTTTGAGCTAGTTCTTTTTAAGTATGAACTGGCACAACACTGAGTAAAACACTTAAATCCGTATTTCTCCAATCTCAGGGGAAAATGAGGGAATAAACCATGACCATTCGAAAATATGACTGGGTTTCTAAAGATACAAAGCTTAATGCAAATGGGTGAAGTGTCTCTTTAAATAAATAAATAAATAAAGGACAATTGGAAAGTCTATGCAATCAGCTTTGCTTTTGCAAGCTTTCACATAATAAACTAAAGTATACTTTGGGCTTAGCAGTATATACACAATGCACAGATGGTAGAGCCATCTATTGTTCCTTTTTTGGTCAGCTTTTTCATGTGTATGTGTTCAGATGTGTTCAAGTGAAATACAGAAAAGGGAAAAACACGAAGATAAAGTAAGAGACTGTTGATTACAGAAACACTTATAATTCATTCAGCATCAACGTAAAAATATATAATTTTAAGCTATTTACAATTTAAATGCCATTTAAATGAGTGTTATATATCCTGCAATTTCAGAATATTGCATGGATCTTCCCAACTTTGCAAAGGCTTAATATTGCCCTAGTCTTTGAAGCTCAAAAAAGGTTTAAAAACTCAGGCACTATCATGCAATTACAAAGCTGGGATGAGGCAGGATATTATTTAATATAACTTAGATTGTGTTCAGTTGAAAGACGAAAGTCATATACACCTAGGATGGCTTGAGGCAGAGGAAATTAAGGGATTTTTTTTTTTTTTTTTTAATTTTGAGGGGATCTATTCTATTAACAACAAGCTAAAGCCGGGGTAGAGCACAACAATCGAGATCTAGACTAAATATTCCATTTATTTTCTCCACAGAGACAATGATAGTATATAAATCCTCAAGACAGATGTACCATTAGCACCGAGGCTGTTAAGATAGTACATGTTCAATTTGCATACAATACTCATAATCCTTAAGATTATGCCAAGATCAAAGATAGCAGATTTCTAGCCATTGAGATGAATGAGAATTGTGACGAATAGCTTTCTCGTGTTATTTTAAACCTTTTTGGAGTCAAGTCTTCTGTGTGCTTCACGTAAGGAGTGTTATGATAACACAGAGTCTCAACCTTTGTACAGCATTCCAAATCAGACACTCCTGAGGATGCTGCCTATGTAGGCAATGAACAGTAAGGCAGCTCACTAAGTTTTGAAGCACAGCACCTGTCACTCTACACTACACAGCTGTCTAATAAATAGGAAAATCTCACACATAAAAGCAAAGAAATAGGAACTTTTAACCACTCACTATAAAATCATACGTAGTATCTAGTGAGTAGCTTTTAGCTCAAGATAAATCAAAAGATTGCTTGACAGCGATACTTTCACAGTTCTAGTTGTTCGCCCTCCCTCTTCACATTGTGCCACGGTATGTGGTTTATTGAGCAGTGAGTTCCAATCATGGTTAAAGGAGTCTGATACTGCCACTCTCCTCGATATGCTTCTCGTGCTCACCCTCCCTTCTAGGCAGTAGCTGATCTCTGGTAATCTGCATATAAAACAGTGCAGACTTTGGCAAGCCAAGCACAGACAGAAGTGTGAAGTGATCCCCGCTTAACTCTTTCATCTGATGGTTAATTAGCGTGTGGAAGCGGCTTAATGCCACAGCGTCAGCCAAGGGATCTCACCCACTAATCCCTGACACAAATCGCATTTTCTCCAGGGAGAGATAACCTGTGTCACAGCAGATCAAATGTCTCACTCTTTCTCATACATATAAACTTGACTATGAGCTAAGTGTTTTTTTTTTTTTTTGCCCGCTACTTGCAGTAAGAATGGTGTCATTGATGAAACCCTCTGTTGCCAACCGCTGGAGTCTCTCCAGCAGCTAATCTCTAATTCATGACGTCCATTTTAAACCGGCCCAGTTCCAAACACAGGTACATGCTGCCTAACTGCTGCAAATCTTATAGAATGAATAGAGCATTCACTGCAGCTTTTCATTTATGACCTTCACAATTCGTAATGGAGTGAAATAGAGAGGAGTGGAAAGACATTGTACAAGAGTTTGATCCAGAAATCAGCAATTTTATGAATGTGAAGTGCCACTTTTCCTTTTTAACACCCCACGAAATACAATATACTGTGATTTCTCAGGTGCAGAATGCTAGATTCTGTTTCCTAGCATGCATGGTATAATGAATAAATTATGAAGAATTTTTTTTTTTTTCCTGAAGTGTGATTGTTTTGTGCAAGTAACATTAAGGACCGCTCATGACAGACATGTGCATTAAGCAGTTATTATATAAAAGCTGCTTGCGGAAACATCTCAGTTATATGAATTATTATTCTAAGTGTCAAAAAACAAAAAAAAACAAAAAACAGAACTAGCTACATCGCATAAAGCTAATACAGGGCATAGCATACACCAAAAATAGATTGTGTGATGATGAGGAAGGATAACTGGAGAAGAAATTTGGCATGCTGATAGGAGAGACTTTAGCACTTCTAATATAAACAAATAATTAAATTGAAAATTCATGATAATCTCTCGCTCTTATCCGTGCCAGTGATTGAATACCCCTCACTATACCAAAGCTGGCTCGTGAGGTTGGTCTAAGGTTACAGACCCCAGGTTCGAGTTTGCTTGTAGCGTGTAAGAGGAAGATTACTGCCGTTTTACCTGATCCACTCCATTAGCTCCACAGTGTCTGGGTCATAAAACTCTCTGAGTTCAGAAATCTCCTCCATCATTCTGGGCCAGAACTGTCAACAGATAGACAGCTCGATTGAGATGGAGAGAAAGTGTGAGACTGCTGTAATGGGAATGACTCACAATAATCAATGATCAACAAAACAGCACAATAAACAAACATCCATATACACAAATTTGCACAATTCTTATCTGATTGCTTATTCCCACTGTTGCTTTAACAGATGGAGAAAAAACATGGCAGAATCTAAACTCTCCTAAACAACACACACAGTGGGATACGAATTTCATTTGTGTGCATTTGGATTCCTGCGTGACTATTTATGGAGTACAGCCACCCAGGCAGCTTAGCAATTTATGCAAATAGATACACGACAGCATAGTTGAAAATGTCTTACCTTGTAATAAAGAAACGCCAGAATTACAACTGGAACAGAGTACCTGATCAGTCTCATCTGTTGAAACACATTAATAACATAAATGGATCAATATCTACATAAATAGGAAGAAACAGGATGTAATTGTTTGGGCTCGAGGGCTGTAACTACATTGCCACCTAGTGGGGAAATGAAATTTTCAGTTGCGTGGACATGGCAATATTTATGCAGAAAAAAGAACATCATGCCTCACTGAAACTCAATATCAGTTTAAGGCATTGAGCATTATAGCTTCTCAATTATAAATGCATAGTGTATCTTTGGCTTGTGGGCTTCTATAAACATGCAATGCATTCTATTACAGACCTGTCTATTCTGCTATTGCTTGTGCTGAATGTAGGGGAGAGGGTGTAGACTGGGCAAACTGTATTACCCCCCTTAAGCCATATGAGGAAAAAGTGAGCAGTATTTTATGCTACAATGGTTATATAATTTCATGTAAATTATAAATATGAATAAAATGTAAAATACATTTATTTTCATATAAATATGTTGGTAAATTACCTATATAAAACAATGTAATTTGTCAGCTAAAGTCTAGGCATGAATTATTAAATGAAGCATTTTTTTTTTTTTTTTCCAAAAATGCAGCAGTGGGAAAGTGTGTCATATGCTTTGGGATAAAACACTAAGTCAGCAGTGAATTTTACAGCCAAAACAAGAAACACTATTATAAAATGCTGAAAATTGCTGCACTACATTTAAATAATTTGAAAGTTTAAACCTCTTCCTGGCCATTTTATAAAAATTAACTTAAGAATAATAGGCACATGCAGCAAAATTTTAAGACTTTTAGGTTAGACACTCTCTCTCTCTCTCTCTCTCTCTCTCTCTCTCTCTCTCTCTCTCTCTCTCTCTCTCATAAGAAATGTAAATTGTCTATACCCTTAATGTGAGGCAAGTTTAACTCAACAACTTTGTTTTTCATCGGATAGTCATATTTCTATGGAATATGTCATGTGGATATTAGTTGTTCTCATTTCTACTTTTTTAAAGGAAACTTAAGTAAACTTAAGTGTGACAGCTTATCCCATTCTCCTCTACAATGCATGTGTGTGTGAACAAGTAAACAAAACAAGTACCTTTTTATCTTATATCTTTTTTTTTTCTTTTTTCTTTTTCTTTTTTTGTATTTCTGATCAAATATTTGCAGCCTTGGTGAGCGTAACAAAAATGTAACCTATTGAATGCTGGTGTATAAATGTCCCAGTATCATTTGCAGTGTGTGTGTGATCACAGATCTCAGTATCTCACCGCGGTTTTAGTGTTGCAGTGGAGGACTCTCAGATACAATGTCCACACCTCCTTTCCACAGACCCCAAAGGCAGCGAATGCACACATATGGCCAGTCCACAAATATTTCATTCTGCCAGCAGCAAAGATAGAAATCTATGACTTCAATCCTATTTTATCATGAAGCTTAGACAACACATTGCAAAACACGAAAGACTGAAATAGCATTCATTTTCAACTCTATTACTATTCTGACACCAAACTAAACTTTATGAAACAATATCGCACTGTTTAACCGTAATTCATTCATCATTAAAATCTCGAATGAACAATCAAACGGACTAATAAGATGAATAAGATCACAAAGCAGAAGCGGTGAGGGGACAGGAAATTAAAGCGGTAGCAGAGAAGAGGGTGAAATTGAGATGCACCATAGCGGCAGCAGCAGGGAATGAAATTACAGACGGCTGAGTGAGGAAAATATGGAAGGAAGATATTTGTATTGAGGGAAAGAGATACATGTTATGATGAAAGCAACAAAACTTTACAATTTTTTCCCAAGTTGTTAACCTCATAGTGGAAAAGGCGAGCAGGCCAAAGAAGACGGTGTGCAAGAGATTGTAAGCGACGTCCGGCCGCATGGTAAAGGTCCTGTCCTCTTTCTCCCTGTTGGCTTGACCAGACCCATTTGTGCTGGAATGAAGAATAAGGAATCAAACAAAATGGGGGAAAAACAAATAAATATTACAACCATCCATTAAAACCTAAAGGCAGTTAAGATCAGTGGCATTATTCAATTTGTGTGGGTGTTTTTTTTGTTTTGTTTTTTTTAATGTACAGAAGGGGTAATAGTAGCCCATCTAATTAGTGTGTTTGTGTGTGTGACCTGGTAAACCCTAAAAAATGTCCCCACACAGATTGCAATATCCGAAATCCTTGTCCTTGCAGGGACATTTTTTGGTCCCCCATGAGGAAAACGGCTTATAAATCATACTAAGTGATGTTTTTTGAACAATAAAAAAAAGCAGAAAGTGTTCTGTGATGGGTAGGTTTAGGGATAGAGTTAGTGCAAGGGGATAGAAAATAAACTGTCGTTAAAAGTCCCCACAAATCATGAAAACACACTATGGGCCCTATTTTAATGATCTGAAACGCAAGTATCAAGTGCGAAGAGCAAAGTATCTTTGTGGGCGGGTCTTGGGCGCTGTTGCTATTTTACTGGCGGGATAAATGACTCTTGTGCCCGATGCAAGTTTAAAAGAGGTTGGTCTGAAATAGAGCGTCATCCAACATACCTTTAAGAGCATGTTGCATGGCGGATTGCTATTATTATAGTTGATTTACCAGGCGTTCGCAAGGAGCATTCAGAGCTGAGGAGACCGACGTTCGAGGGCAGTGAAAAAGTGAGAAGTGACGTTGTATGGGGATGGGAGATTTTCAGGGTCTAATTTTCATCTGTCTAATTTATCAGATGTCCTTATATACATATGTGTCTTGCCACTATTGGGCAATACAGGTCTGATCTGTCATTACTACAATTTGCATGAAAAATTTGGGTAAATGTGTAAGCTAGATTTGGGCCTACATTTTTTTTTTTTACAGCTTCTTGGATTCCACAATGATTTTCCTCATGTGTTAATATTTTTCCTTGTTATAATGTTTGATTTGCAAAAATAAAACCTGATGCATCTGTGTTGATGAGAGAATCAAAGTGTATGCGCGTATCCGCTACATTATAGCCAAGCATGCGCACTAATAGCATTATGAACAACGCGCAATGCGCCACTGACTTTAGAACTAGTTTTTTTTTTTTTTTTTTTTTTTCTGGAAGTGTAAAATAGCACCAGGGAATGTTTGCGCCAAAACACGCCTCCTTTTTGCGCCGACCCGCCCGCTTTGCACAGGTGCAAAATAGGAATTATACATTCGTTAGTGTATGAAGTCATTTGCGCCGGGTGCAAGATAGGACCCCTTGTGTGTGTGTGTGTGTTTGTATTTGTTTTCCTATCCCAGTGGGGACTTAAACATGAATGTGCAGGCTCATGGGGATTTGTGTCACTGTAGGGACCTAAATTATGGTTGCCAACTTCAGAAAGGAAAAATGCAGGACAATCGTGGTTCTTTACATGAAAATAAGGGACACCCAAAATATTTGTTCTGTATCACACAGTATATGTAATTTCAGGTTTGTATATGTTAAAAAAGGTTCTCAGACATACACAGTTTTTGGTTAACCTATTTATGTACAATTTAATTCTAAAACGAATTTGAAGGTCACACAAGTTCAAAATAATAGCATTTATCTGAAATAGGAAGCTTTTTGTAACATTATACATTTAATTTAGATGAAAGAAATTAATAGCCTACTTTTATTAAGCAAGGATGCATTAAACTAGGTAATCAAAAGTGACAGTAAAGACATTTGTAGTGTTACAAAAGCTTTTTTATTTCGGATTAATCTACTTTGAACCTACTCATCAAAGAATCCTGACAAAAAAATAAATAAAGCCTAATAATCAGAACTGTTTCTTAGGCAGCAAATCACATCAGCATATTAATCCCCCAGAAGGCGTTCATGTTTTCAATAATCACGTTGTTTGAATTCACCAAAACTGATTTGTCGAAATCGGACAATGAAAGGGATTTGCCGTTAGCGCGAGTCCGGATCGAACCAGGACCGTCCAGACAGCAGTCTAATTCTCAGTGTAGAGTTTGTTATTGGTATGGTCTGATCCGTGTGAGTGTGGGCTGTGATTGGATGACCGGTGTCGTGTGTTTGTGTGTCTGCTACACTGATCTAAGCACTGACAGAGACAACAGTCTATTTAATCGGGACAAGGGAGGTCCCGTACGGGACAAATAAATCAGGCCCATAATACGGGATGTCTTGGCTCATTCAGGACAGTTAACCTAAATTGAGGTCCCCATGGGTAAATAAGCCTATATTATTATTTTTTTTTTTTTAAATGTAAAAATGCAGAGTGTTTCCTGTGATGGGTAGGTTTAGGGGTAGGGGCAGTGTAAGAGGATAAAATATACAGTTTGTACAGTATAAAAACCATTACGTCTATGGAGAGTCCCCACAAAGATAGTAAACCAGTGTGTGTGTGTGTGTGTGGTGCAAAGCCTCTGGGTGTTTGTGGGCTCCTGTGATTCTGATAAGAAATGAGAACAAAAAAGAGGGCCAAGCAGCCCTTAAAGCAACAGCAAATCAGCTTTGAACTAAACATAATAACATGCATTTAAAAGCCCTAATGGAAAAAAAAAGAAAAACATCTAGAGTCCAATAATTATGTAGCACATCTAATAAAGACTAATACCTATAATTATAAAGTAGCATTATGACCTGAGCACAAGGTGTTTATGAAACCATAATTACTGCTCTATTGGTCATTTTTCAGTCTAATTCTGTGCTATAAGTAGAAAAAATGAACATTATGAGAATATTTAAATTCCCAGAAACACATCTAATTAATGCGTAGCACATATTGCAGTAGCGCACATGAGCGATTCCTGCTGAGAGAAAGCGATAGCAGTAGTTTTACCTGAGATTAGAGAGTGCCACCAGCAGCAGCAAGATGAAGAGCACACTGAGGGTGCATAGATACGGATACAGCAGCACTGTGCCAGCCAAACGCTCAAATGTATCCAATGGCAACACGCCAAATGCCTCTTCGCACAGATAGAGACTGGCATCAAAGTCCCTGAAAGAAAGCGGCAGGGAGTGAGTGCGGCCTGCATGTATAGTATCCAGATTACTGGGAGCAGCAATTAATCTGATCAACTGAAATGGCGTGATAAATATCTAGAGGATGAGCAGATTATATTGTGTTCCAGATGTTATTTTTTCACCAGAGCAGAACACATTTAATCACAGCGGATTAATGGCTCGCTCTCGTCTCCAAGTAGATCTCACTTCTGAATAAGACATCACTATATTTGACTGCTGATAAAGGCATAGATGTAGCACCACATAGATATTACCAAAGACTTACCTCGTTGCCCCAAAGCCAAACTTGGCCTTTATGAACTTAAAGATGTGCTCATCCGATTTCAGTTGGAGTATTTTCTGTCAATTAAAATGGAGAGAGAAGGATGAAGTCATTCATGTGAGTGTCTCATGAGATCGGGGATGTGGGTTTTTATGAGAATGAGATATGAAGGAAGACAACGAGAGTGAGAGTAAAGCTTTGTGGAGCCCAGGAGGAGCAGGTAGAGAAGCTGTACTGTATCATTAATGACGAGGCGGACGATGTACAACACGATTCATAGCTCACCTTGGCTGAATAATTGATGGTGAAAGTTAATGTGAGGACTAGAAGTGTGTGAAGAGCCAGTTTTCCCACTCGTATAACAAAGCTGCCCGTCTTTAGTCCCGTCTGAAAGCCACACACGCACACAGCAGGTTTTAATTAATAAACTACAACAATATTTTTAGCCTCTGTTTTCAATCACAACAGAATTGGATGTTAGGAAACACAGATAAGGTTCATACAAAAAAAAAAAGTGATAAAGTGTTTCAATTAAAAATTGTTTTAGTATAAAGCCCTGTTTGGATGGGATATGTTTTGCTTGATGTATTTAGACATTGTTTCCATATAATGTGTTTGATGTGTTTGACTTGAAATGTAATTGCAGGTCAAAATATAGCATATGGGATTATTAGGATAAAAGACATTAGTGAGTCTGTAATTCTTTTTTGCACATACATACATTTTGTGCATACTGTACATATTGGAACTGTCATTTTTTTTCTATTCCACCGCTTAAAAGTAAAAAAAAAAAAAAAAACACAATGGGTAATAATCTCTTTTACATGGGTAACAAGTGTCAGTTTTTTTTTTATCTTTTACATGGTTCAATTAAAAAAAAAGTAATGGTGTACCTCCTACATGCTTCATATTTTTTAAAGAATTTATGGGAGCAACCAAAAAATTTTTTTAAATTGTAAAAACTTATCTGCCCAAATAGGGTTTCCTTTATTTAAATTCTGTTTGGTAATTCAGTACACTATACTAGTGCTCACATCCCAGTAAGCATATGTACCATTCATCACCGAGATCATCTAGAGAGCATTGTGTTCATTTTGATCATATTTGTGTAAAAAACATCTGATTACCATCTTAAGGAGCAGATAATCATATACAGTGCATTCTAAACCATAAATGTCGCAAGGACATTTGCTTAATGTCAGTCTAACATCTGCCAGGGTAATTGACACAATTACAGATGAGCACATTAAAAATGTCCTTCCACGTTTTGAAAAGAATAGATACATGATATTATATATATATATATATATATATATAACACCTGTATATATACAGGTGTTATACCCCTACTTTTTTATCTATTTTAAAATTCATGTACTGGGATGGACACTGACCTGGAAGTGTTTGATGAAGAGAACAGATACAATGAAACTGAGTACCAGAGAACCCAGAATCATAGAATTGCAAAACTGCAGTAGCCACACCAATAACAGACTCATCACTTGCATCAGGTACAGAGAGACCACCTGCAGAGAGAAAGAAATGAATATCCAACCTCACATGAACTCCAATAGGTGAAAGGTTTCCAATATATGTGTTTTAGCATCACCTGTTCCGCTGTGAAGAAGTCCAGGCAATCCAGAGTAAAGATTATAAGGGCCTGCACCAGCAGGACAAACTGATTGAATTGCCATGTCAAACAGAAGCAGAAAGTGGAGACGAACACCAGCCACAGCACCACCCTCTGTGGTTGAAAGCACACTATTTGTTCAACTTATACCGCCCAGACAACAAAACATACAAAAACCTTGTTCTTTCTTCAGAGCTCATACAATGAGAATTTTTTCAGAGATATACCATATGTCAGGAAAGCAATTAGAGTCTTTGCTGAGAGAGCATACTGAGATAGAACAAATAAGTGTTCAGCAGAGTGAATATATCATAAATACACTTGAAATTGCTAACCTCCATTTCATATTTCACAAAACTATTCCCCAGCAGCAAGCAGTGAGAAACATTTATCTCAACTTACTGCCTTTTATTTTCCGTGTCTTTTTCGATGAGTTATTAGACTGGATAATATTTACTTTACATCTATATTTTTTCTAAAACTTTCTCTTTCTAATTTAGTAATGACTTAAAGGGTTAGTTCACCAAAAAAATAAGTCATTAATTACTCACCCCCATGCTGTACCAACCCCGTAAGACCTTCGTTCGTCTTCGGAACACAAATGAAGATATTTTTGATTAAATTTGAGAGCTGTATAACTACCACATAGACTGCCTAAGGGACTAGCTCTTGACGGCCCAGAAAGTCAATGAAGAAAATGTTTAAATATTCCATGTGACTACAGTGGCTCAACTTTAAGTTTATCAAGCGACGAGAATACTTTTTGTGCGAAAAAAACAAACAAAAATAAGTCAAACAAAAATAACAAAAAATTTTAAAAAATATTACAAATAAAAATAAATAAATATGCGTCGTTGAAATCGTATTGAAGTCTCGTTTCAGGCCAACAAGGAAGAAAAGGAATAGTCGAATAAAGTCGTTATTTTTGTTTGTTTTTTCGCACAAATAGTATTCTCATCGCTTGATAAACTTATAGTTGAGCCACGGTAGTCACATGGAATATTTAAACATTTTCTTCATTGACTTTCTGGGCCGTCAAGAGCCAGTCCCTTAGGCAGTCTATGTGGTAGTTATACAGCTCTCAAATTTAATCAAAAATATCTTCATTTGTGTTCCGAAGATGAACGAAGGTCTTACGGGGTTGGTACAGCATGGGGGTGAGTAATTAATGACTTAATTTTCATTTTTGGGTGAACTAACCCTTTAATGTGTAGGTCTGTAGGTTCATTTTTGTAAACACTAAAGATTGTAAGCACTGTGGCTCTGTGGTGCGATCACAATGGGCCAATCCCAAATGACACCCTTAGCCCTCAAAGTCTTCCTCACGGTCCACACGTTTGTGATGTAATGCTGCTTTGTGATGTAACCCCTAGTTGCTCAAGAGGTGTGCGACCTCTGACCAATTGTAAGTCGCTTTGGATAAAAGCGTCAGCTAAATTAATAAATGGAAATGTAAAAGTAGTACAAATGTACAGGCAAGTGAGTGAATAAAGAGTGAGCTAAAATCTACCGGAAAGTGGACCTCGGGAATCGGGTTTGAGGGTCAGAGTTAAGAACCCCTGGCCATGGTTTTGTAGTCTTAATTTGGGGTAGGACCAACATCCCAACCAGCACACTGTCTCAGTGTAAATTTAGGGAAGGGTTTTCTGTAGGGTTGTGGATTGAAAATCAATTCCAGTTCTGGAATTGGATACTTGTTATAAAATCTAAATTTTGCTTATTGATTCCTGTGTGTGCATTTTAATGTGATTTTTAACCATTCAAGTGCAAGAAGATGCAAAAGATAACTCAATTGCACTCACTCACCATTACCTGCACAGGGCACATCCAGAGTGTGCACACAAAAAGCCAAGTTTAATATGGTGCACAAATACCGACTTGAGTTCTCTTTTGTTTTTTTTGCGCTTGAATGAAAAAATACACAAAATTATGTCAAACTATCCTTGAAAACAATTCAGTTATGTCTTAAGTGAACGAAAACAGTTGAGAAAGAAAATGTGTAACAGTGTATTGGATCCATGCATTAGCTCTTAAAGTGACAGCAGCTAATAAACCTGCAACCATCTGTGCAATTAATGTAAATTAAACAACAAAAGAAAAAGAAAATCACTCATGGATCTTGACTGAATACCTTTTGTAAACTTAATAAGGATTAATCTTTATTACATTTATAAAAAAGACAACTATGCTGTGTTATTTTACATATGATTTCAATTTCTGAATTTAGTTGTATTTATTTGTGCTATTGCTAATTTGTTTATTTGTTATTTTTGCATAACTGATTGTGTACTTGTTAGTTAAAGGGGTGATGAACTGAGAAATAAAATTTTCCTTGAACTTTTGACATCTAAGAGGTCATCATAGGATATCCTGTAAGTTTCAGAACTGAAAACGTCCTTTTTAGTCCAATAAAAGCTTTTATTAACACCAGCCTCTGAAAACGACTCGTTTTTAAAAGTGGGAAACTATGACATCGAAGGGGTTAAAACACCACCCCCGCAGAAGAAGATCAACACCTATTTCAACACGGCCGGTTTAGCCCCGCCCACCAATTCGCGCATTACACGCATAGCTAAGTAGCCTAACATACATGCCTACCTCGTGATGACAAACCGGATCGTTCTACCGAGCAATACAGAATATTGTGCAGTGCCTGGTTGTGGAAGAAGACAGTTGCTGCATAAGCTTCCTCTGGATTCCAATAGGACTTCATGGATAAACTTTATTTTTAATGACGTTCCAGCTGATGAGGGTAAAACATCGTCGTCTTTTCGCTTATTTTATTTTTTAGTTTTATTTATATCTTTATTTGACATGGACATACAATTACATTGGACGAGCCATATGCATTTGTTTTTTAGTGATTATAGCATACATGCTAATTTTCAACACCTGTCCACGGAAGGCTTTTGAAAATAAAATAAAATACAGTTACAAGGGGAAGAAAAAAAAAAAGAAGAAATAAATAAATAAATAAGTAAACAAAAAATAAAAACAGCAAGTATCAGAATCAGAAAGTATTAGTAATAGACTATACATGTGAGCACTGTTGTTTAGTTTTCAGCCATTGTTTCAGTCCTCTGTTAAAAGCATTTCCATCTGTCTCTAGTTTTAAATTAGTGGGCAAAGCATTCCAGAGTTTTGGCCCCTTTACAGAGAAAGCAGACTGACCAAAAGAGGTCTTACACTTTGGAACTAGACAGTCACCTCTGACAGTGACAGCTTAATTTCACTGAGGATTGTTTTGTAAACAAGACTGGATTTGCAGACGATTAAGAGTAAAGAACGTGCTGTGCTGTCTATATTGGATCTGACAGGAATTGTCAGAAACGGACAAACGGACTCTTGGTTGAACATGTATGGGTTAGTTGTTTTTAGGCTGCTGATATTTGTTCATGGTATTCAGCTGCAACAAAATGGTATTCAGCTTTTGCAAGAGAGAATGTATATGTTTGATATCTAAATGTTTAACTTTTTTTCCCCATATTGTAATCGAAACTAGGAATCAATAAGCATAATCGGAATCAAAAGAAAAAATTAAAATGATACCAACCCTACTTCTCTGTTTATCCAACCAATGGGAGATGGGAGTGAATGTTCAGCAATTGTTTGTCGAGTTCACACTTACATACAATTAGAGTGGATACGGTTTAATGCAGAAACAAGCTGTTCGAAAGAACAAATTAACTAAAAAGAATAGGACTTCCCATCAACAATGGATATCATTTGATAGTAGTTACAGAATAGACATCTAAATTTATGAGAACAGTCGATTACCTGGTGAATAGGTTTTAGCTGTGGCCTTAAGTAGCAGGTTATGGCAGCCACCTGAAGGGCAAAGAAAGGTATTGACCAGTTCTCCCTTAGAGAGATGGTAAACTCCACACGTGTGGTGTCCACTCTGTACACAAATGAACAATGCAATCAAGCACAAAGAAAAAAAAAAACACAGGCACAAAAAAAGACTTAAGGTGTAATTTTCAATGCTGCAATATGTTATACAATTCCAGCTTTAAATGCAGAGAAGTCATCTGTGAGTTTCCTAAAAATGTGTTATGTAATCAAAACATTACTCTTTTTGATTGAGCTTCCATACCAACTCAAACAATAGCTTGGGGTCTGGTCTATCTGCATCTGTATTATTCTGAACATTAAATACTGAGATTGTTCCAGGGGGAACATCCTAATATCCTAAAGCTCTAAATGTCCTTGAGAGATTAAAACCATATTTAGATAGAGAAACATATCGGCTTTCACAATTACCTGCCAGATATTGAAGCCGAAAAATTATCATTAATTTTGATTTAATTTAAAACGCATTGTGGCAGCATGCAGACACAGGCAATGCAGCTTAGCCTGCCTAATGGCTGTCCTGTGGCAACTGCAGCAGCCTATCGAGAGAGGCTCTTTGGTGGCGGTTCAATGGGGGCGCTTCATGCCCACTGCGTCACACTCCCGCCAAATAACTCGATAGACTGATATAACTTATTTTTCATCTTTTCAGCGAAGCTCACACATCGCTGAATCCAGAGTGAGAAGCCGCGACGCCTGAGAAAGCCTTCTGCGGGACGAGCCATTTCAACTTCATGTCGCTGTTCCTGCTATGCTATCCAGCATTCATATCCTTACATATATTGCATTACTCTGCCTAGTGTGTGTTCGCCACCGCGACTCGCACTTTCTAAAAGAGCTGCGTCTTTTTAAAGATGCTATCCTCCTGTGGCTCGTACCAATGTGCATGGACGTGGCTCTCGCACCCCTAAACTTCGGGGCAGGCGAGTTTTGAACTACTTGGATGATTGGCTGATTCTAGCTTGATCTCATTCAGAGCTCAGAGAACACAGGGCCGTGTTACTCAAACATCTCGAGAATCTGGGCCTCACAGTCAATTGTGCGAAAAGTTTGCTGTCCCCCAGTCAGAAAATATCCTTTCTGGAGTTCAGCACAGAGCTGAACTTGCTGTGTATGACAGCGCGACTATCTCCAGAGCGCAGATTAAAAATTTAATGCATCACGAAATCCTTCCGCAGCGGCACTATAGTCCCGCTCAGGAGGTTTCTGAAAATGCTGGGCCTCATGTTTTGATTTAATGTTCTGTTTTTTTTTTTTTTTTTTTTTTTTTTTGCAGCTCTGAAAATTTGGAGAGCAACCAACTGGTACCAGTCAGGTGTAAGCCTGGGGACTTCCTCGAGTGTGCAGGTGGTGTCTACAGACGCCTTCACCTCGGGATGGGGAGCACTGCACGAGGGCAGACCGTTTTTCAGCCTGTGGTCAGAACGAGTGAAGCTCCTTAATATAAACTGTCTAGAAATGATGGCAGTCGGCAACACGCTGAGGCGCCTTTTTCCCCGAATAAAAAGTCACCACGTCTTAGTCCGCTTGGACAACATGTCAGTGGTGGCCTACATAAATCACCAGGGTGTTGTCAAGTCCCGAAACCTTTTCAGGCTGATGGAAAGCATCTTGGTCTATGCTCAGCACAATCTGTGCTCACTAAGAACAGCACACGTGCCTAGCTCCCAGAATTTGGGGCCAGACAAACTGTCCAGACACAATATTCCAGCAAGAGAGTGATCTCTGCACCCGCAGACGATCGTCCTGCTGTGGGAGACATTAAGCAGAGCGCAGGTGGACCTATTCGCATCCCAGGAGGACACTCACTGCCCAAAGTTTTTCTCCAAGAGCAAGGATGCACTGGCCCCGCTGCCCGCTCTATGCGTTTCCCCCAGTCTTGGTCCTGCCTCAGGTGCTGGAACGAATCAGGGAAATCGGATGCTAAGTGCTCCTTGTGGCTCCACTCTGGAAGAACCAAGCCTGGTTCCCAGTCCTAATGCAGCTGACGAGCACTGCCCCATGGCCAATTCCGATGAGGAAAGGCCTCCTCTCTCTGGCAGAAGGTTCAATTTGGCATCCTCACCGGGAACGTTGGGCCCTGCACGCATGGATACCCGCAAACCTCCCCGAAGGAGTGGTTAGTGTTTGTTAACTGGTGCAAAGCCTGAGACTTTTCAACCATAAACAGCGGGGTAATGGAAGTGCTCGCCTTCCTTCAAGAACTGCTGGATAAGGGCAGATCCCCACCCAAGCTCAAAGTTTACGTAGCGGCCATACCAGCTTTTATGAAACCTGCGACTGGCCTGTCACTGGGGGAAAACAATATGGTCATCCGTTTTCTAAAAGGAGCTAAGAGGCTGAATCCTCCCAGAACCCCCTCTATCCCCATGTGGGACCTTTCCACGGTTCTGGAAGCCATGAAATGTGCCCCATTTGAGCCAATCCAATGTTGAATGAAACACCTGTCATTCAAAACAGTGTTTCTCATGGCTCTCGCGTCAGTAAAACGCATAGGGGATCTACAAAGCACTCTCAGTAAGCGCAACATGTCTGGAATTTGGGCCTAATGACTCATACGAAGGTCATACTCAAACCAAGACATGGATATGTGCCTAAATCCCTCAACACACCATTCAGGGCCCAGGTTATTTCCCTGTCTGCCCTACCGGTTTATAATGAGGAAAAAGATGTGAAAATAAAATGCCCCCAGTCAGGGCATTAAGAGCCTATGTGTCTCACTCATCCATTTTCAGATAGACTGAGCAGATTTTCATTACGATTAGCGGTCATGCTAAGGGCCTTGCCACATTGAAACAGAGCCTATCCAGATGGATAGTTGATGCCATAGTACTGGCATACACAACAAAGATACTAAAGTGCCCTTAAGGTGTTAGAGCGCACTCCACTAGAGGCATGGCCTCATCGTGCGTGTGGTCTAGCGGGGTCACCTTACAAGATATCTGTATGGCGGCAGGCTGGGCCTCCTGTCTACATTTATATGGATTAATAACCTAGTAGAAGTTCCCGCTTTGCAGGCTAAACTGTTGTCAGTTTAAAATCAAGTATCATCTGCCCCGCTGCTTTGGTGCAGAGTACTACATTCGCTTGAGCACCACTCGGTGACTGATAAGAGTTTTTTTCCCAAGGGCAAAATAATACCCATACTGTTATTCAGTTCAGGACGATTTTTCACTTCACCCTGACTGTGTGTGACACTGTTACAGTGATTAGCCCCTTTGGTTGCTAACGTTTTGGGAATGATGCAGCTAGCCTCTCTTCTCAGACTCTCTGTGAGTCCATGGTGATTATGCACTATATGAGCTCCGGGCATTTGCCCCTTGGGACCTACGCTAGGGCTAAACGATTATGGAAAATAATCTAATTGCTAATCTAACTTTAACTTTAATTAAACCAATTACATGTTAAGAATTTTAAATAGGCTATATAAACTAATATAGCTTCAAAATATAAAAGCTAGTAAATAAAGGAGGAACAAAAAAGTATTAAAAGCAACAAACAAAGAGTACTTTCAGTATTTATAACTAGGCCGTCTGAATGTGTTTCATTCAAGAGCTGGAGTGATTTCCCCCCTCAGTTTAGATACGATAAGCTGCATTCACACCAGGGGCATAGCCAGTATTGGGTCAGGGCGGCACTGGCCCGCCCACATTACTAACTAGCCCGCCCAGGCAAGTTTGATAAAAATACATTTTTAGTTCTTCATTATTCAAATGTATTTAGTTTGTCTATTAATTTTTCTACTCTCTAAGGTTAATTATTATTGAAGTCATTTTTTCACTCACATTTTCACTGGCCCACCCAAAATACAATTTCTGCCTACGCCACTGGCAAAACCTGTGCAATAAAGCCCGCGGATGTCCTTGTAATTCGGTTAAAACACAAACTTTCAAGCAGTGTCTTGTGTGTTTGTGAGAGAGAGAAATTAGAAGCAAGTAGAATATGGTTGTTTCTAAAGCACACGTGGCATCATCACGCATCAGTGTTTAAAATCTAAGCTCAGACTCGATTCGGAAATTCTCTAAATCAATCCAGAACTGTTGGAGAGAGAATAAATAACACAATATCACATACATTAAAAATGAAATGTTCTTTCCTGTATGCCAGACCTATATACGTAGCGTGCCAAGTAGTTTGATGCTTGTGTAATTGCAGCTTTTACGATTACAAAATCGTAATCTTGTTGAGCGCACACATACCTGTTCAGAATGTACCAGACTCCACTGAGGGCCCCAGCCAGCCATGAGTCACTGAGTAACCAGCTAGTGATAAAGAGAGCGAAGACATACACTGTCTGCAAAGCAAACACTGTGTAGATGTAGAAATAAATTGGCTCCAAGTAGGTCTGCAAAATAAACACACCGGTTGGAAAATCTCAAGACAATCTATACATACATACATAGTAAGAAAACATAAGTGATTGAACACCTGGATGGGAAGAATTCTGTACAAAATGCTAAGGAACACTTCCTGGTAGATGTTCATACGTTGTAGGATGTTAATTGTCCTCTTGGATTCAGTAGTGTTGTCATGAATAAGCTCATAAAGACCTGTGAACATTAGAACACACACAACACCAGTAAACTTACGACTTTTACGCTTAGCATGAATTCAAAACTAATTTAATTAGTCCCAACTCTTACTTAACTCGTAACTTATTTCTCACACACACACAAATGGTTTTAAGACAGTTCATTATAATTATTGCCATTAATTATAATAATCCAGTGAGATTTTTGCATGCACAAGGAGTCTGACAACAGCCCGTCTCTGATCTCACCATCATCAAGTCTGTCTGTGATTACATGCAGATGAAGAAACAGGAAAAATATGAGATAGACTAAATCCAGAAGAACTGTGGCAACTTCGCAGATGCTTGAAACAACCAATACCTGCAAAGCTACCAGAAAAACAATGAGCTGTTTTAAACGCAAAGGGTGGTCACAACAACTATTGGTTTGATTTAGTTAACAGAAGTTAATTGATCTAATTCATCTATTTATGGCATTATTTTTAAAACAGCATCCTCAGTTTGCAGTAGTTTTACATGAGTGCCTAAAACTTTTCAGAGTACTGTAGCTTTGCAGATATAGGCGTTTAAGCGTCTTGGAGATGTGGCCGCAGTTCTTCTGGATTTAGTCTGTCTCAGTTTTTTTCTGTTTCTTCACGTTATCACAGATGGACTCGATGATGGTGAGATCAGATCAGATCTGTGTGTGTGTGTGTGTTTATGTATGTATATAACATATTTAAGTACTTGTTATATTGAGTAGTACAAAGTACTTTCAAATATAATTACATTGTACCAAGTTAACACATATGTAACCGTCTCGGCCTGTTACATATGTGTAACAGTAGCTGCCTATTACATGTGTGTAATTACAACCTGTTAGTACAGGCAGTTCTATAACTTAGTTACATGTTGTTTTGTTGTTTTGACACTTTGTTACATGTTATTACAACGTCTACTACAAGTAATTAAGTAATTACTCTGTATCACGGAAACCGTAAAATAAAGTGTTACCGACTTTTTTTGGCTAAATATTAGTATATTTCGCTTTAATATAACAATTAGTGTTTCTATGCAAACAATAATACTTTGATAATACATAGTTACAAAACAACAATGATTTGAAAGGTGTTCATTATAGTAAATGTGGGCCGAAATGAATAATGGAAGAGAATTTCAAAACAACCTCAACTATCTTTATACTATTGTAGATAATACTACAGCGGTGACATTTTACAGTAATCAGTTTCAGTGATTGCTTAATAGAAAAGCAATGCTCTGAAGATGCTTTTAAATACTATAAGTACAAAGGCCCAATTGTAGTGGTGTCTAGAGAACAGCTTTTGGCGTCGCTGCGGTTCTTACCATTTCAGTCTCAAAGGGTAATGGCCTAATTGTATTTGTTTTTCAGTGTAGGAGCACAAAAAAATCCATTCCAAATGGTGCTGTTAAGCCAATTAGCATGAGCAAAGGCCATTTAGAGCAAAGTTGTGCATTTCCTTTCCATTTTCTGAGACCAGTCACACTGATATGGTTACGTAATGAGACATTCCTTCGATAGCTCTCAGATTACATAAGTGATAATGGAAACCAAACAGAATAGAATGTGAATGTGAAACTTGCTGTTATGGAAAGAGCTAAAACAACAACAAAAAAACTTAGGGTTAGTAAGAAAATGGGATCTGATTATAAAATAATAACTACCCTATAGGAGCAATATTACCACATAAAAAAAAAAATTAAAAATAAAAACTTAAAGTAATGGTTTACCATAAAATGAAAATTAAGTCTTCATTTACTCACCCTGTTGCTGGTCTATAGGCATTTGATTTCTTTTATGGACCACAAAAGGACAATTTTTACAAATTTTTAAAGAGTTCTTGCGCTCATCCATTTAATAGCAGTGAATGACAGTGAATAGAAGCATCAAGATTTGTAAAAAATTGCAAAAAGTATCACAGAATGATCCTATGCAACACATGCTGTATATTTCAAGTGTTCTGTGGGTAAAAAAATAGGCTTTAGTGAAGGAAAAAAAAAATTGTATGTATTATTCAACAAAATTCTTGACCTTGGCTGTTGTCCTCAGTGCACAGCTAAACACAGTGCACTTTCTCAAGATTCTATTAATGCTATAGTTCACTCCTCACTCAGAAAAAAACAATTTGTGAGAAATCAGGATAAAAAACAAAACACAACATTAAATACAACACCTAGAATTCCCCCCAAAAGTATCTGTGCATCTTCGTCACTGAGTCCAATATCACCAGACCGGATCTCCGTTTGTCTGACAGATGTGAACACAATAACTCCTTGTTGTGATGAACACAACAGATATATTCACCTTAGAGTAGAAGGTACATTAGATGTTTGCTTACTTCATGTCTCATTTTTGTTAATCTTGATTTCTCACAGGTTTGATTTTCACTAAACCATAACATATACTCCAAGAACACTTGGAAGCTACGGCATGCGTCACATGAGATTTTACAAAGCTTCATACTGGTTGGTATTCACTGCCATTAAATGGTCTGTTGTGGTCCAAATGCCATTGTGGTCCATAAAAGAAAGAAGGCCATTCGGCATTAGAACAACACCAGGGTGGGTATGTGGGATGACATTATGCAAGGGTGATCGTAGAGTCGTATCTTGTGAGTAGATATCTGTACCTTGCTGTACAGAAGGGGCCTTCAACATCTGTTTGTAGTAGGAGTAATAAAGGCCACATTCTGTACGGAAGGAGATTTCACGCTCGACTTCCTACAAATGCAAGAGGAGAGGATAAGATTCAGTAAAAATGAACTATGACAAGAAGCACAACAGAAGTAAATGGTGTCAAAATGAAATACATTTCCCATCTGAAAAAGAAATCAGTGCAGCTATCTGCCCAGAATAAACTGAGATTTTATTCGCAATAAAAGCCTCGAGGAAGGAAAAAAAAAACAGGTGTTGTAAATATGGTGAAATTTTATAGTGGAAGCCGTTTTCAGAACTAAACAACATCCCGACAAAAACGATCCATATGCTCCTCAAGATTAGAATTGCAAGACATTTGATTTTGGTTTTAAGAGACTTCAAACACTTTTATTTTTCTTAATAAAACAGTCTTAAACCTTTTTTCTTCTGAAAAACTCAAACAAAAACAAAAAAAGTATAATAATGACGAGAGTACTATAGAACATACACAACAAAAACTGAGTGACCAATAATGCTTGTCCTTACACAAAGAGCACACATTCACATCTTCATTCCACAACATTTCTTAGCAATATTCTTGTAACAAAAATGAAGACAGATCCTGCTTCTGCTTACCTTTAAGTGTGAAAACCACAGCAGGTTCTCGTGAATAGAATAAACAAACCATGCATGAAACAGCCCAATAACCCCTGCCAACAGTAATCCTGCTGCTATGACAACAGCAGGCCAACAGTTTTGTCCAGAAATGTGATTCCATGAAAGCTCTATGTCCCTCTGCCCACTCTTGTAATCCCTCGGATTGTCTTTTGCCCCAAAGTTTAGCAAAGGTGGTCTATGCAGGGCAGTCCCAGCATTATCATTCGAATTGCTCTTCCTCCTGCTACGAACCCTCATTCTCAAGGACTATTATCCTACGTCTTTCCAGTCTTTCCTAAATGTCCCTCTCTGTTTGAGACCGCAAACTCTTTTGTTTATAGGTCTTTCCAGAATTTCATGCCCAAAAACTTCATAGCACATGTATTAAAACAATAAAACAAAACCTCATGAGATCATTCTAAACTCTAGACGCCACCAAACAGCAATCTGCAGGATGAACATTTTACATGTGATCAGAGAGGGGCTGAGACAGGGGGGAAGGCATGTGGGCCGCACAACTAGTGACCTCCTGAAAGTCAGGGAAAAAAATATATAAAAAAAGAAGGGGGAAAAAAAGCTTGGAACATCATAAAAAAAAAAGGTTTAAGAGCATTTGCAAAAACAGTTATTTGAACAAACGATGGAACAATGTCCAGCTTGAAATTAAGACCGTCGTGGACATGACTTCACACAGAGCGAATTTAATAGCGTCCCAAAAGCATTTGTCTCCTGCAGTGTGGCGTCCCAGAGGAAAAACAAACATGTTACTTCAAACGCCTTTGTTCAAAAATCATGGCAATATCATCAATTACGAAACTTAAGATACCACCAACACCTGCTGAGAACATTTACAAAGCCCCTGTGAAATTTACCACTGGTTTCCATAAGAAAAGGGGAAACGATTATAAAAATAACATGGGATCTGTGTTTCTAACAGAGGCTCTCTGCAGTAACATTTGATTAGCTGCTAACCACATTCCCACAGGTCTTCCTCTGAAAGAGAACAGGTGATTTATTTGCCTGCAAATAAAGCATACTCTTCCTCAAATGCTCACTTGAGGCTTTCTTCAACCAAAGAATGAAAGAAACATATGGGGACAAAAGCTGTGGTCATCCAGTCCCTAAAGCTTCCAGTCACGTTCCGAAAAGCAAGAGTGCAGATGAAAGTAGGATGACTCATAAGCAAGTCATAAATACCAGCCAGCATGCATGAGTTTCCTTTTTCCACTGCTGTCGCACTCTGACTTAATTTTTAAACCTGAGATGACCTTTTGTGCTATGCATTCACGTGCAGCACTATATAAACGGGCGTAATTGTTATGTCTCATTTATAAAAATAATTATTACTATTACAGCAGTGTCTCCTTCATCTGGACCCCCATTTTAGAGCTTGGAGTCTCTATTAACAAGTTGTATCTGGTGGGTTTAATTAGGAAGAAACCCAAAATGTTTAGCGATGGAGTCCTCCAGGAATTGAGTTTGGAACCATTCGTTTACAGTGTCAAATTGATGTTGTGTCTTTAGCCTAGATGAAGAATGTACCGTACTGTAATCAGGAACTCGTTCAGGATACCGTAATTATCAAATATGCTCTTCAGACTAAATGTACTTTAAAGAGTGAAGAAAGTCTCCTGACATGTATTTGCAGCAGGTTTGACTGCAAGTCACATTAAAATCAAAAATAAAAAGGGCTCTTAAATTGCATGGCACCCTAAATAAATAAATGGTGATTTACTGCAAAACCAGCGGCGGTAAATCCTGCATTAATTGGAAGATGTGGTTAAACTACTCCTGATCTGCTTTATTTTAATGAGTGATCTGGGATAAATGGACATGCTGATTTTTCCAACTGAACATGACAGAACTTTTTTGGCATGGTGTGGTTTCATCTGTTTTAGGTCTGGAAGTCATAACATGATCTGCAGCCCAAACTCTGGCTAAATGTTTATGTGACTGTTATGCCAAAGAGGGAAATTATCTTTCAGCACATATCTGGGAAAACAATTCGTTTACAAGAAAGAAACGCATGAAAATATAGGACAGATGAGAACACCATCACTGACTAAATGCAACCACACATTATAAATGTAGATCTCTTGAGCTGTTATTTATATTAGTCAAGTAGCCTAAGAACACTATAACGACCTCTGTCTTTTCACCAAAGACTGAAAAGAAAATGAATCCCAAATGGAAGGTTGTATCACTTTGTTTCAGAACATTGAACATAAAAAGCTCTTTACCTTTATATTGGAAAACCACAGGTCATTTTCATGAAGTGTAGCCACATAGATGCAGCATAGCAAGCCCAGACTAACTCCCACTATTGAGCCAATGGTTATACACAATATTGTCCACCATGAGAATCCACCTGGAGAGAAAGACAACATTATCTCTTGGAGTCGGACCACAACATTAAACAATCCACATGGTAAACAAGAGACATGAACACTGATCTATG